GAAAATGTAAAGCTGTGATGAGATACTACACACCTATTAAAATGGCTGAAATAAAAAATATTGGCACAATCAAGCATTAATAAGAATGTGGATGAACTGGGTGTTACATACATTGCTAGTAGACTTACAAAATGATATACCCACGCTGGAAAACAGTTTGCTAGTTTCTTACTAAGTTAAACGTGTATTTACCATATCTTACTCCTAGATGTTTACTCCAAAGAAACGAAAATTAACATTCACACAAAAACCTATACACAAAGGCGCATAACATCTTTGTAATAGCCAACAACAAGTAAATGAATAACTCTTGTACATTCGTACAATAGAATACTATTTTTAAAAAGATAAAGAACGAGTTATTGATATACTAACAACCTGGAGGATCTCAAATGCATTATACTGAATGAAAAAAAGCTAGTTTAAAAAGATTACATATTATGGTTTCATTTATATGATTTTTTTTTGAGTCAGAGTGTCATCTCACTCCATTGCCCAGGCTGGAGTGTGCTGGCATGCTCATGGCCACCCCAGCATCGACCTGCTGGACTCTGGCGATCCTTCTGCCTCACCCTTCCAGGTAGTTGGAACTAGAGACGTGCGATACTATGCCCAGCTAATTTTTGATTTATTGTAGAGATGAGATCTCGCCAGGTTGCCGGGGCTGATCTTGAACTCTCAGACTCAGGCAGTCCATCCGCCTCAGTCTCCCAAAGAGCGAGGATTACAGGCTGAGCCACCGGAGCCCAACCTATGTGATATTCTTTAAATGAAAAAAATATATAGTGACAGAAAAGAAACCAAGTAGTTGCTGGGAGTATGGTTGGGGAAGGGTGTGATTATGAGGGGATAGCATGAAAGTGTTGCTTTAGGGTGGTAGAATAGTTCAGTATTCTGATTGTGGTAGAGGTTATACTAATATGTATATGTATATGTGATAAATTTACATGGCACTATACACACAATCAGTGCATGTAAAAACTGGTAAATTCTGAATAAGATTTATAGTTTGTTTAATAGTATTGTTCTATTGTATGTCAAATGCTATTGCTAGGTAAAAGATATTTAAAAACTGTAATACTTTTGCAACTTCTATATGAGTCTAAAATTATATCAAAATAAAAAAGACACTGTAAAAAAAAGGAAAGGGAAAGCCACAGACTAAAAGAAAATACTTGCAAAACATTTGATAAAAGAGGTGTATCCAAAATATATAAATAAGTATTACAACTAAGAAGAAGACAATCATATTTTTATAATGAGCAAAAAAATTGAATAGCTATTTCACACACACAAAGCTCAGGAATGGTATATAAGCCCATGGAAAGATGCTCAGCTTTATCATTAATAAATGCAACTACTAACCACAATGAAATACTACTATATACCCGCTGTCATAGATAAATGATAATCACAAGGGTGTGGAACAAATGGAGCTCTTGCATATTGCTGGCACAGTTGGAGAATGGTATGACACTTTGGAAGACTGCTTGGGAATTTCTTATAATGTTAACGTAGGACTCAGCAGTTCCACTCCTAGGTATTCACCCAAGATGAATTAAACAAAAAAAGTGTGAATGTTCATACTGACATCATTTATGAAAACCCCCCAAAACTAGAAACATTTCAAATGTCTAAATAGTATATGCATACAATGGAATAATACTCTGTAGTAATAAGAACTACAGCGTGGATGAAACTCAGAAGCACTAAAACAAGTGAAAGATGCCAAACAAGAATTACAACGCTGTATGATTTATATGATGATCCAGAAAAGGCATAACTAAGCACTTCATTGGTTGCCAGGAGTGGGGATAAGGGATGAAGGATGGAGACTGACCCTGTAGGGAACATTTTGAGGTGATGGAAATGTTCTATATCACGATTTCGTTGATGGTAGTTACAGAATTGTATACATGTATCAAAACTTATCATATCGTATAGTAGGTAAATGTTTTTAGGGCCTTTGCATGTGCTTTTTTTTTTTTTTTTTTGAGTTGGAGTCTCACTCTGTCACCCAGGCTGGATCAGGTGATCCTTCTACCTCAGCCTTCCAGGTAACTGGAACTATAGGCATGCGCCACCACTCCTGGCTAATTTTTTGATTTATTATAGAGATGAGGTTTCACCAAGTTGCTCAGGCAATCCTCTCACCTCGGCCTCCCAAAGTGCTGGGATTATAGGCGCATGTGCTTTTTATTCTGCTAAGAAAGCTGTCTTCTCCGTGCCTGTTTAACTCATTCAGTGATGTTGCTTAAACATCACATTGTCAGAGAATCTGTTTCTGAGTCCAGACTAGCATAGCCTTCTGTGGCATCCTGCCCCTGTTCCTTCATTGCCTTTATCATAGCTATAGGTGCAATCAGGCAGATAGTCATCGGCTTAAGGGCTCTTTTTTCTGTCTTAATTGCAACTCTGCAAAAGCCAAATGCAAAGTTCCATCATATTCAAAGTATATAGCATGGTGCTTGAGTCAGGTACTCCAGGGAATATTGCATGACTGAGTATAAGTGAGTAGAGTGTTCTCTGTCTTCTCTTCTTGGAAGTGGCAGCTGTGGTTTCTACTAAAGGGCACCCTAGATGGGGTTCCCTACTTAATCTTGGAGCCTGTCTGCCTGCCTTGTTCCTGGGGAGTTGTGGTGACTATCCATGCTCAGGTGCCAGCCAAGGCTTTGTTCAGGCTTCATTTAGGCGCCATGAATCTCACTCCTCTTGCTGGACCACCTTGTTCTTTCCTTGTTTTCTTTTAACAGAAAGAGAAACCGGCTGTAGCGCATATGCATGTTCCTGGGTCTACTCAGCTTTTTCTTTGATTTCTAGCAAATGGAGAAACTCTGAAATACAGTCTTTTGTTACCTACTTTGGTAACAATAAGTCAACTCCTGTGAAGCACCACAGAGCACCCTTTTCTCTCCTTATCCTTCATCTTTAGGCGAGAAATACCACTCCTCTATGTAAGCCTAGGAAATCTAATCTGCAGGCAGTTTGAATGCTTTAGTGTGCACCTGTTTAACCTTCTAGGCGGTGAAAACACCAACTCTGTGCTCAGCTTCTGATCATATTTGCAGATTACTGGAGACCATTATTCTTGTCTCCATGCTCTGGGTAGCACAGTTTCCAGGAATAATGGGTAGAATATTTAATGAAGGGCCTGATAACCAACATTTTCCTCTTCCCACTCCTTCCTTATTTCCCTGTAGTAGGCAAGAGGCAATTCAGGTTAAGGTAGGAGATTAGATAGGATGATGAATATCCATATTTGATCATTCTATGAACATAGCTAAGTACTTAAATCATTACCAAAACTCCTTTCTTTAAGTCTGTGTTCTGTTTACTTAGGCAGATTTTGAGATATGTAATTTCAGTCTTCTCCAAAATATTATAACTTGTCCAGTTAGTAATTTTGGAAATGTTTTTTCTGAACCTTTTAAAAGTTTACCCAATTCTAATTCTCATTTGTTTCCAGTTTATTTATCCTCAGTTTTAAAGCTTACTGTCTGGACTTATTTGGAAATAACTCCATTACACCTGAGACTCTTCATTGATTCTGTCTCTTTCATCTGGGTCATTATAATAGCCTCTCCAGTTTTCCTGTTCCACTTACTTAGCCTTCCTCCTGCAGAACAGTCACCATGTAGCAGCCAAGAATCTGGTCAAGGAATTCTCTTGCTCCAGTGGCTTCTATCAGTTTCTACTAGAATTTACCTTCTTACCATAGTTTTTGAATTGGCCACAGGACACAGCACAGTGCCTAGCCATAGTAGGCAATTAATATTTATTGAATTAATTCTTATAAGTCATATCAGGATTTATATTTTTGTTGTTAGCATTATCTTATAACCACAGGAAAACAGTAATTCTTTTTTTTTTTTTTTTTTGAGTCGGAGTCGTAGTCTGTTGCCCAGGTGGGAGTGCAGTGGCACGCTGATGGACTCAGGTGATTTCTACTTCAACCTTCCAAGTAGCTATAACTATAGGCACGTGCCACCATGCCTGCTATTTTTTTTGGGGTGGGGGTTGTTTTTTGGGGTTTTTTTTTGCAGAGACGAGGTCTTGCCATGTTGTCCAGGCTGGTCTCAAACCCGTGGGTTCAGGCAAAAAAAAAAACAGTAATTCTTAAGACCGAACTGGTTTTATAATTTATCGAGGAGGTGAGGAGTATGTTAGAGTTGTCTTGCACTCATTTTGGAATAGACTACTTTTGTCTAGTAAAAGTGGATAATAGGTTTGTTAATAACCAGCGGTCAAATGGGTCGAAAGAAATTCCCTTGACTTTTAAGTCTTACAAGTCATAAAATAATTGTGATCAAATTTGGATCATATTTTTGATGTCTCACACAGATTGGAACCATGTTGTTTTGTTTTGTATCCTAATATACTGAATGTTTCTCTCTTCTTGATCTTACATTTTCTACCCTACTACTCATCTTTTCACCAATTACAGCCTTAGCATATGCATTTCATGAGGATCTTGCCAATGGGCATCAGGGTATCTGGCACAGTGAAAGCACTGTGATACCATGTTTGTTAGGCAGGGGTTACCATTTGTTGTTCCTTCTACTTGATGCTAAATAAGTCTGTTAACTAACTGAGTTTGTTTTTGAATGAAAGTTATCGATTTCTCACAAAAAATAAAGTTTTACTTCTCTATAATAAACACTTGAGAAAAGACTAGTTTTAAATTTTAAGCAGGAAGTGACTTTAGAGACAGGTTTAATTATAATTATTTGCTTTATTTTGCTAGTCTTGCAGTAAATTATGTATGTATGTATGTATTAATACCAGTGCCTTCTAGATTAGAGGAATTGTTTATCCTAATACAGGTGTTTTTTGTTGTTGTTTTGTTTTTTAACTGTCAGTCATTTGTATGGCATGTGTTAACCAAAGCTCTGGCATTTTGTGTGTGTATATTTTTTAATGAAGCGGCTCTTTTAACATGATCTAACAGTCTGTGTTACTATCAGTAAGTAAACAGAGAGTAAGGACTCAGATTTTAAGATTAAAACAAGTTCATTTTGTTAACATCACATTTTGTTCCATTTTACAGCTTCTTGGTGAATTTTTGGATGAAGCCATTAAATTAATTGCTTGCCATCATGAGCAGAAGCAAGCGTGACAACAATTTTTATAGTGTAGAGATTGGAGATTCTACATTCACAGTCCTGAAACGATATCAGAATTTAAAACCTATAGGCTCAGGAGCTCAAGGAATAGTATGGTAAGTTTTTACTTCCAAAAATTAGGCAAAGAATCATTAGTTGCTACCTTTCGCATTTTATAATATAGATATCTTGTCAAATATTTAATTTGTCTCAGAAAACTAAGTTAAAACTGTAAAAATTAAATGAAAGCTGTAACATGGTAAACTGTTTTCTTCAGGGATTAACAGATGATCTTTTTTTATTATAGGTTGAGTTTCCCTTATCCAAGATGCTTGGGAACATTGGTGTTTTGAATATCTGATTTTTCTTAGGTTTTGGAATCTCAAATTTAAAAATCCGAAATCTGAAATGCTCCAATGAGCTTTTCCTTTGAGCATCATGTTTGTGCTCAAGAAGTTCAGATTTTGGAGCATTTCACTTTGAGAATTTTCAGACTTGGGATGCTCAGCCAGTATTATTCAAAAAATATAACTTTTTACACCAGCACTGCCATCTTTAAGTATAAACTATGATTAAATACTTGGTCATAAGCCATGTAGAGACAGGTAATCTATATCGGGAAATAATAAGTGGCATGCTTGTTAATTCCCATCTCTTCCCATGTATGGGGTTAACTCCTATGTATGAAAATACATCTATCCCCATAACTAATTGTTTAATAATAAACTTCACATCGTCATCATGTTCACACTATAATGAAACTCTGTAATTTCAAAAATCTTATTTTATGCTGGGGAATGAAGTCAGCTAATATCATCTCTCTCTATATTTCAAAACTCATTCATATTTTTTAAATTGATTTTTTTTTTTTTTTTTTTTTTGAGTTGGAGTCTCACTCTGTCGCCCAGACTGAAGTGCAGTGGCCACTCCCGGCCACCGCAGCCTCTACCTGCTGGGCTCCGGCGATCCTTCCACCTCAGCCTTCCGAGTAGCGGGAATTACAGGCATGCACTACCACGCCCGGCTGATTTTTTTTTTTTTTATTTATTGTAGAGATGAGGTCTCGCTGCCCAGGCGGGTCTCGAACCCACGGGCTCAGGCAATCCACTCACCTCAGCCTCCCAAAGGCGCGGGATTACAGGCTGAGCCACCGAGCCCGGCTTTTAAATTGATTTTAAAGCTAATTTCTACAAAAGGATCATGCTTTATAGATCAGCATAATTCCTTATAAACTGAAGTACATATCACTCCTTTGGATAGTTCTGCGATTTTAGATCACTACATTAGCAAAATTAACTACTGTTTTGGAGAATTCTAAGTCTCACTCAAGTATATTTATATCTTTATTGCATCTTCTCTTTTTTCTTTTTTGAATTGGGGTCTCACTCTGTTGCCCAAGCTGGAGTGCAGTGACACAATCACAGCTCACTGCATCCTCAACCTCCTGGGCTCAAGCCATTCTTCCATCTCAGCCTCCTGAGTAGCTGGGACTGCAGGCACACGCCACCCATGCTCGGCTAATTTTTTAAATTTTTTTCGTGGAGATGAGGTCTTGCTTTGTTGCCTAGGCTGGTCTTGAACTCCTGGGCTCAAGCAGTCCTCCCACCTTGGCCTTCTAAAGTGCTGAAATTACAAGCGCGAGCCACCATGCCTGACCTTATTACCTTGTCTTGAACCAAATTTGTTTTGGAATCTATTTGAAACAAAACATAAATCAGAAGTATTAATGATCCAGCACTTCCAGATTCTAGAAAAACTCTTGTGCATGTGCACAGAGACATGCATAGGACTGTTCTTGTGCAGCACTATTTATAATAGTAGAAGTTGGAAATAGCATCAAATCTATCAACAGAAGAATAAAAAATTGTGATACAGTCATACAGTGAAATACTATACACAATATAAAATGAGCTGGAGCTGTTTGTGTCAACAAGGATAATGTCAGAAATGTAGTGTTGAGTTTAAAAGCAAGATGCAGACTATACATACATTATCATACCATTTGTATATCAATTAAAATATGCAAAACAATACCATATATTTATGGATGCTTATATATGTAGAAAAGATGAAAACATGCGTAAACACCAAACTTAGGCTATTGCTTACCTCTGAGAATAGCAAAAAGGAAAGAGACTTGACTTATAATATTTCTTTTTTAAAAATTTAGAGCAATTATGGCAAAATATTAAGATCTAACAAATTTATGTGGTAGAAACACTATATTATCTTTTCTGTATTCTTGAAGTAATTTATACTGTCAAATATTATAGAAGTTGGGGTCATTTTATAAACTGTATTGACTGGCTAGTTTTCATTGTACCAAACACAAATTAAATTGAAAGAAAATAATATTACATAGTCATTAATAGGATTCTGAAAGCCAGCTCTTGATTCAGATTCTAACTCTGTGATTTACTAGTTTTGTGACTCTTGACAAATTAACACTGCTTAGCCTGTTTCTCACCTAATTTACAGAGTTGTTGTTAATTAAAATATATTGCTTCTATATCTTCACTTAGACAGGTGCACTTTGAAATTTGTGTACAAGAATTTTAAATTGCTTTGGAAGGGATTTTATGTCCTCTTAATAAGCCCCTATCTGAAGGAATAAACATTGTCAAATTTTTGCTTAAAGGAATAATTTCTATAAAAGATTATTATGCAATAGACAAAATAAGGCCGGATACAGTGGCTCACGCCTATAATCCCATCACTTTGGGAGACAGAGGTGAGAGGTTTGCCTAAACCCACGGGTTTGAGGCCAGCCTGGGCAACTTGGTGAGACCTCATCTCTGCAATAAATTAAAATAAAATAAAAAAATTAGCCAGGCATGGTGGTGAGTGCCTGTAGTTCCAGTTACTTGAAAGGCTGAGGCGCACTGGTCACCTGAGCCCTTCAGGTCGAGGCTGTGGTGGCTGTGAGCGTCCAGCCTGGATGACAGAGTGAGACTCCAACTCAAAAAAAAAATTTTTTTTGACAAAATATTAAACACAAAAATGTCAAAACTTATTGTTGTACTGCTATCAGAGGACTTAATTTTTTTTAAAGAAAGCATTAATTTTGACCCCAATCATAAATTGTAAGAATTATTGGATCTGGATGGGGGTCTGTGAATCCTCAGGTGCTTCTGATGTGCACATTTAAAAATCAACAGTTAGAAATGTAATTTCCTTGGATATAAAATAGTGGAATCCACTCAAATACTTTTGAACTTTTAGAGTTTAAAGTATGCTTTTGATTTGGCAGATAAAAAATTAATAGGAATGAGTTCAATGGTTAAAATAAAGCCTGCTGTGTCTGAAGATACTTCTAATAATTTTGCATGAGCCCTGATGTATTTTTGTTTTGTTTATTTAGGCAGAACATATTTGTAAATATGGCATTTTTAAAGTACAGATTATAATATTGATATATTTTGGTATTTGTATATATATGAATATGGATAGTAGTTATGGTTTACGTAGAATGTACAGATGCAGAACCAATTTGGTTTGATAAGATAGCTACAAAACAAATACAAGCTTTCAGTTGGGGAATAAAATAATGCTAATCAGAGGTGAGCTGACTTTCCAAGTATTACATAAAAGGAGTAGTCTTCTACAGTATGTTAGATGATCCAATATGAAAAGCATGGCCTCGTGTCCTAGCCTTCTAGCATCAGCTTTGTTTTAAACTTTTTTTTTTTTAATTGGAGTCTCACTCTGTCACCTAGACTGGAGGGCAGTGGCACACTCCCGGCTGCCACAGCCTTGAACTGCTGGGCTCAGGCAATCCTCCTGTCTCAGCCTTCCAAGTAACTGGAACTACAGGCACATGCCACCATGCCCAGATTTTTTTCTTTTTTTCTTTTTTATTGTAGAGATGAGGTCTCATCAAGTTGCCCAGGCTGGTCTCGAAACTGTGGGCTCAGGGAATCCTCTCACCTGGGCCTCCTAAAGTGCTGGGATTATAGGCGTGAGCCACCACACCCAGCCTGTTTTGAACTTTTTTACTAACCTGGGACAAATCATTTAACCACTGTCCTTAGATTAGGCAATGGTGAATCCAAATTATTTTTAAGGTATTTGAATAATAAAATTCTTTTTTTTTGAGTAGAAATCTTGCTGTTACCCAGACTGGAGTGCAGTGGCATGCTCATGGCCACCACAACCTTGACCTACTTGCTCAGGTGATCCTTCTGTCTCAGCATTCCAAGTAGCTCGAGTCATAGGCATGTACCACCATGCCTAGCTTTTTTTTTTTTTTTTAAGTTGTGGAGATGAGGTCTTGCCAAGTTGCCCAGGCTGGTCTCGAAACCCTGGACTCAAGCAATACTCTTACCTCCACTTCTCAAATTGCTGGGATTACAGACATGAGCCACTGCACCCAGCAAATTCTATAATTTAAAGATACTTTACCTTATTTGTTCTTCAGTTTCTCTGACATGTCATTTGGGAAAGGTGTTATTTGGTTAGTGTCATGGTATAGAGAAAGATATGTAGAATAATGAATATGATGTTATATGTTCAGTTATGAAGCAGCTTCTGTTGCCCTGAAATCAGGCATTCATATTTATAAACTTCTTGATTTTTAATTTTTCCAAAACTCATATAAGTGCTTTACTTTTGTTAAATTATAAAATAATCTTGTGTATACAAACCTCTGTATGTATCCTCCTCATCTATATTCATTTTGTTTTGAAGAAATAATGTGTTTGTGTAGAATTCTTCAGTGAGTCTTTTGAATACAGTTCACAATTGTGCAGAGCCAAGGATTCACTTGGGCATTAAGCTCTCTAGTGGACCTAAATAGTCATTAAGCATCTATGTCTTGAAAGTTCACTGTGTGCTAGGTGCATCTTTGCGGCAACACAGTGAATAAGCAGGGTTTTTGTCCTCATAGTTCGTTGTCTCTTTGGATCCCATAGCATTTTAAGAAATGGTTGCTATATATTGTTGGAATATGCTGTAATAGGTATAGAAGACACATGTTGAGCATCATAGACTGGAAAGTGATCCAGTTGCATTTGTCTTTGAAGACAGTTAGGAATCTATGTGAATATCTCATAAATTCAGTTCCACAGATTTTCTTAAGTCTTTTTGTTTTTGAATTTCTTATTACAGTGCAGCTTATGATGCCATTCTTGAAAGAAATGTTGCAATCAAGAAGCTAAGCCGGCCATTTCAGAATCAAACTCATGCTAAGCGGGCCTACAGAGAGCTAGTTCTTATGAAATGTGTTAATCACAAAAATGTAAGTTAACATTTTAAGGTTTTTTTATTCCCTTGGCTTTAATTTATTAGATAATTCAAATGAAATAAAATGTGTATTTTTTATATTTTTTATATTTTATATTATTTGAATTAGAGCACCTGCTGTATTAGAGTGCTTTATTCTACCTAACTGAGCATTTGTACAGCACCTCATGGTTTTCTTTTTTTAAAAAGAATATGGAACATTTCACGAATTTGTGTGTCATCCTTTTGCAGGGGCCATGCTAATCTCTTCTGTATCTTTCCAATTTTAGTTTATGTGCTGCTAAAGCAAGCACTTAAATTTCTTGAATGAAACCAAGATTATTCATAAATATGAATATAAAGACTTTAAATATTAAGAACTTTAAATTGTTCTTCTGTATTGAAATGTGTATGTGTACACACACAGGGTGAATTTTTCTTGACTTTATTGAATTAAAATAAAAATGACTTCTGAAATTTAGATCGTGAAATTTCTTGACATTTAACTTACAAAAGAAGTTTTAAAGAGATGTTTCAGAGGAACTTTATTCAACTTGATTTCATCTTCTGTTTTTGTTCTCTATCTGACTGACATTGTAGAAACCTGTAGCCTTAACACAGAAAAGAAATTATTCTCATAATACCTTGACACTGGAACTTTAATCATACTGGTTATAAAATTCAAATCACTTCTCCCTACCCCACTCCAACCTCACTGGTCACTTTATCTTGAGTATAACCAGTTTACCAGAAACTTTTTGAAAATGCTTAGAATTAGAAGAGACATTTATAATTCCACTTCCTAATGATTATAAATATATGTCTACTCATTTTGAGAATAAATAGTTATTTTTTTGAATTTACATTAAGCATACTGATACTTTTATGACTGTTTTAATGGAATGATTTCTTCAAGATGAAAGGAAATAAACTAGGAGTGAATTGTGTTATGGACACATGCAGTTGTAAACTGAAGGCATCTGACTAGAGACATTGGAATTTGTTCAAAGGAGTTTATAAAATAAGATAAACTCAGTATTTTCTGCTTGCAGATAATAAAATTTACCACATTTTGAGAGCCAAGTATGTGCAAGCCTCTGTGTATTGGCATTACTAGGTTCATCATGAAGGGGAAACAATAATTCATGGAGATTAAGAACTAGCTTCCTTACTTGGAGAGCTTACACTGTTTTAAAGATAAAACAAATATGTAGAGAGTTAAATATCAAATATCACAAAGTAGTAGGAGTTTGTCAAATGATAGTGGATGAACCATAAGTGCTGCGATCTCAGAAGAGAGATTATTTTTGTGAGCCTTTAATGAACAGGGGAGGGTTCAGGGAAGAGTAAACCAAGGCTGACACGTAAAGATAAGAGGAAAATTGGGTTGTTGAAAGAAGGGGGTCTCCAGAGAGGAAGAATGTCATTTAAAAAATCCCAGAAACAGAAGTTAAAGTCTGATGGTAAGAAATTGTGGTAGCCATTCTTGTTCCAGGTGTGAACTAGACGTGTTGGGCATCACAGTTCTGCTGGTGGCCTCCTACCTTTGGATAGAGCTACTTATGTTCCTTGTGGCTTATAGACTTAGTTCCATGACAGTGACTGGTGGCATTGCCTTAGTTTTTTCTTTGGGAAGGATTCCAGTTACTTCTGCCTCCCAAACCTGGGTGACTACAAAGAAAGGTGGTTTCACTGGCTAAATGGAACATGGGGAAGAATGTCTTATGTGCTTAGCTCTCTAGCAGGGGTGGCACAGATTCATCCAGGCAGTGCTGTTGGTACCTAGTAAAGTGCTGAACAGAGTAGATACTCAAAACATTTTTGTTCAGTAAATGAGTGTAAAACTAAATATGGGAAAATTAGGAAAGGTAACTGAATTTTTTTACTCCCTGATGGATGGTTGTTGTAATGTCTTGCCTTTTAAACAAGTTTATCCTCTGTATAGATCATCTCTTTATTGGTCTAAACATCTCTCTAAACATCTCTGTTTCTTCCCTCTCTTTCCATAGATGGCTTTGAGTTTTTTTCAACTTGGTTGCTTAGGTGTGAACATACTTTGAAAAGTCACCTAGCGCATAGTACTGCATGTCTGATTAAATTCTCTCAAAGGAACTTAGGCACATCATCTCCTCTGAACTATAGATGTTAAGACCCTGTTTGGAAATCATGTCATCATATGATTCCCATTGATAGGATATTTTTTGTTACAAGCCTGCTGATAGGTTACATCTTGACCAGACTTTTTTTTTTTTTTTTCTTTCGGTTTTGGGGAATTACGTATATGCTTTCTGTTTCTCCCCTGCTAACATCTCAAAGGTGAAATTTGGTTATTCTTCCTGGACTATCACAGATTGCTTTTTGCTTTCTTGTTCTGACTTTTTATTTGTTAGCTTCACAGTCCAGTTTTGTGAAGGATGTCTTTGTAATAGCTGGATTAATTCATTAGCAACCTTTGGGTATATTGCAAAGATTACACGTTTAATCACAATTATCTAGTTCTTTCCGGTTCATCATCTTATTCACATGGATGTTTTTATTAGAGGCATTTACAAAAATGCCTTTTAAAAATCTTTTATATACTGTGTCTGGTTGCATTCTTCTGATGTATGACTGTTCTTAATTCACAAAAGGAAACAGTTTTTCTCAATGAATTTTTACCTACTCCTGGTAATCATTACTTTTTTGGAAATAGTCATGTACTGTACTACCCACTAATCTATCACTGGCTTTTGCTTGACTGTCCAGTTTATAAATGATATAATTCCTTTTATGTCTCTTTTTAAAAAATAGGACAACTGTCCGCCTTAATCTTTTTAATAACAACTTTATTGAGATGAGATGCATGTATCATACAATTGTATACATTTAAAGTATACAGTTCAGTGATTTTTAGTATACTCAGTGGTATGTTGGACCATCATCACAGTCACTTCAGGAACCTCAAAAAGAAATCCTGTGTCCTCTTGTCATTTTCCTCCCTCCTATCCCCCTCAGCTCTGAACAACTACTGATCTCCTTTCTGTCTCTTTGTGCCTTTAATCTTTAACTCTTCTTTTCTATTCTAGGTTTCTCAGATATTAATGGAATAGTTTTATTACTTGTCCAGGTCTCCACCTGTGCATTGCATCTTGTTAGAAGACTTGATTTTTTTTTTAGTAGCTTTCTTATTATCACTTATTTCTTATTATCATTTCCATATCTTAAACAAATTTGTTTTCTTTTTGTGATCTGAATAATGTTTTTCTGAATTTATTCACTGAACAAATATTTGGATGCCTTTTATAAGTAAAGCTTAATGCATAGAGGAATAACATAGATTCTTTCCTTATAAAGTTGACGTCTAGAAGAACATTCCCATCCCTAGGTATAATTGTCAGCAAACATTTTTAAATGGGTATCATGTACCTCACTATGTATTGGGCTATAAAAATGATTAAGACAGTTTTTTCTAATAAGGATCGTGTGTGGTAGCACTGAGGCTGATGTGAAAATGAGACTAAACTGTAGTATATTAGATACCATAATAATGTTTAGAAGAACTAGGGACAAAGTCAGAGAACAGTCAATTCTGTCAAGGACTAGAAGTTATCAGGCACTACAAAAGAGGTCCATCTTAAAGATAACTAAGTTCAGTAGGTAAATGACAAGCACAGGAAATAGTATGTTTAAAAGCATCAAGAGGCCATTGCTTTGCTAAGCTCTTGTTTGGCCATGTGGTTCTTTGAGCCATGAACACCATGTTTTCCTAAGCTTTGGTCCCCTTCCTTATGTTGGAGAGGTGAATCTCTTCTCCCTCTCCCCTTTCTCTCTCTCTCTCTCTCTCATTTACTTTCTAAATAAACTATATTTTCCAATTTAAAAAAATAAAAGCATTGAAAATTTTCTGTTTTAAGGATGTGAAGTACAATTCATGGTTAGGTATACAAATGTTCATTATGCAGGTACCCTTGTTGATGAGGTGTGCCCCTCCTTGGCAGATTCCTACTACTGCCAGTCCTTTTCTTATAGTGTTATGATAATTGTTCAAAGTCTGCTTATGAGTGAGAACATGTGATACTCAGTTCTTTGTTTCTGTGATAGATCACTCAGTACTATAGACTCTGAGTCCTTCCAAGTTGCTGTGAAATTCATAATTTTGTCCTTTATGGCTGCATAATATTCCATCATGTATATGAACCACATTTTTTTTACCCAGTCCTTTTTTGATGGGCAGCACAGTTGGTTCCATGTTTTTGCTATTGTGAAGAATGCTGCAATAAACATACGTGTGCAGGTATCTTTTTAATGGAGTGATTTGAGTTCCTCCAGGTATAGTCCCAGTAGGGGTTTTGTGAGGTTGTATGGAAGGTCGATTTTTAGCTCTCTTAGGAATCGCCAAACTGTTTTCCACAGAGGTTATACTAGTTTACACTCCCACCAACAGTGTAGAAGGGTTCCCCATATCCTCTTCAGCATCTGTTGTTTTTTGAGTTATTGATCATGGCTATTCTGACTGGAGTTAGGTGGTATTTCAGTGTGGTTTGTTGTTGTTGTTGTTGTTGTTGTTTTGGTTTTTTTATTTTTTTTGAGTTGGAGTCTCACTCTGTTGCCCAGGCTGGAGTGAAGTGGCACATTCACGGCCACCCCAGCATTGACCTGCTGGCTGGGCTCCAGCGAGCCTTCCGCCTCAACCTTCCAAGTAGCCAGAACTACAGGCACGTGCTACCATGCCCGGCTAATTGTTGGTTTATTGTAGAGGCGAGGTCTCGCCAAGTTGCCTGGACTGGACTCGAACCTGAGGACTCAGGCAGTTCACTCACCTCAACCCCCAGAGTGCTGGGATTACAGGCTGAGCCACCAAGCCAGCCTCAGTGTGGTTTTAATTTGCATTTCTTTGATGACTAGTGAGGCTGAGCATTTTTTCATGTATCTGTTGACTGCTTGTATGTATTCTTTTGAGAAGTGTCTATTCATATCTTTTGCCTACTTTGTAACGGGGCTGTTTTTTCTTTTTGACATGTTTGAATTCCTTGTAAATCCTAGAGGTTAGACCTTTGTCAGACATATAGTTGGCAAATATTTTTTTCCCAGTCTGTGGGCTGTCTTCCTACTCTCTTGATGGTTTCTTTGGCTTTGCAGAAGCTTTTCAGTTTGATGAGGTCCCACTTGTCTATCTTATCTCTGATGGCATGGGCACTTGGGGGTTTTGATCAGGAATTGGTTGCCAGTTCCAATTTCCTTAAGGATGTCTCCTGCATTTTCTAAGGTTCTTATAGTTTGAGGTTTTACATTTAGGTCTCTGATCCATTTAGGTCTTTGATCCATTTAGAGTTGATTTTTGTGTAGGGTGATAGGTGGGGGTCTTGTTTTAATCTACATGTGGTCAGCCAGTTCTCCCAGCACCATTTACTGAATAGGTTCTTTTCTCCCCAGTGGTTGGTGGTGGAGGCTTTGTCAAAGATGAGGTGGTTGAGAAGTTGAGGTTTTGCTTCTGGGATCTCTATCTTGTTCCATTGGTCTGTATACCTGTTCTTGTACCAATAGACTGTTTGAATTATTGTAACTTTATATTAAAATTTATAGTCTGGGAGTGTGATACCTCCTGCTTTGGTTTTTTACTGAGAGTTGTTTTGGCTATTCATGATCATTTAAGTTTCTATATGAATTCCTGTATTGTTGTTTCCAGGTCTGAGAAGAATAGTGCTGGTAATTTAATGGGTATTGCATTAAATCTGTAGATCATCTTGGGGAGGATGGACATCTTAACAATGCTGATTCTTCCATTCCATGAAAATGGAATATTTTTCCATTTGTGTCATCATTGATTTCTTTGAGCAGTGTTTTGTAGTTATTGTTGTAAAGGTCTTTCATGTCTCTGGTTAGGAAGATGCTAGAGTAGTTCTTTTTTTGTGTGTGTGGCTACAAATGACATTCTTGAAAAGATTTTAGTATGGCTAAATTATGAAGTTTAATAGAGGACTTAGTAGGACATGAAATGAATGATATGTTATCATGAAGGACTTTGAATGTACTTCTAGGGAGTTTTGGAATTTGTCTGTTAGCTTCAAGTTTTTGAGGAAGTAAGTAATATGATCAGGTCTTTGACCATACTGTAGTCAGTAAAATGGAAGTTGGATTTGCAGAAAACCACTGTTAGAGACCCTAGTTGTCTTAGTCAGCTCAGGCTTCCATAACAAAATTCTGTAGGCTGGATGGTTTAACAGAGATTTCGTTCTCACGATTGTGGAGATTGGGAAATCTAAGATCAAGGTGCTAGCTATTTTGGTTCCTGGTGAGGGCCCACTTGTAAGTGGCCAACTTCTTCCATTTTCCTCACATGGCCTTTTCTTCAGTATGTGCTCATGGAGAGAGAGAGATAGAAGGAGAGATAGATCACTTTTCTTTCTTCCTAAAAAGTCGCTAATCCCATTATGAGGGCCCTACCCTCATGACCTAATCTAACCCTAATTACCTCCCAAAGACACAATTTCCAAATACTATCACCTTGAGGGCTAGCACTTTTTTGTTTGTTTGTTTTGGGTTTTTTGAGTTGGAGTCTTACTCTGTTGCCCAGGGTGGAGTGCAGTACGGCCACAGAAATCTTGACCTGCTAGGCTCAGGCGATCATTCCATTTCAACTTTCCAAGTAACTGGAACTACAGACGTGCACCACCGTTCCTGGGAATTTTTTATTTATTGTAGAGATGAGGTGTCGCTTAGTTGTCCAGACTGGTCTCAAATCTCCAGGTTTAGGCAATCCTCTCACCTCCGCCTCTCAAAGTATTGGAATTACTGGCATCAGCCACTGCACCCACTTGGGGGCTAGTACTTTAACATATGATTTCAGGGGGACACAGATATTTAGACTTAGTGTTAGAAGTAATTGCAGGCTGTAGGCGCAGTGGCTCACACCTGTAATCCCAGCAGTTTGGGAGGCTGAGGTAGACAGAGTGCTTGAGCCCAGGAATTCAAGACCAGCCTGGGCAACATAGCAAAACCTTGTCTCTACAAAAGATTAAAAAATGAGCCAGATGTGGTTGCATGCTCCTGTAGCTCTACCTCCTCAGGATGCTGAGGTGGAAGGAGTGCCTGAGCCTAGAAAGTCGAGACTGACTGAGCTGTGATTGCCGTGATTGTGCCACTGCATTCCATCCTGAA